GGAGAGAACAAATGACTATATCATGTTTAGCATAATTTTCATTTTCTCCTTCTCTTATTTCTTTTTGATACTGTCTTCCAAACATTTTGAAGACAACCGTGGCTGTGAGCCTTTGTTTTCCTAATGATCTCATTTCTCTTTACTATTAAGAAAAACTTCTTCTTTTGCCCTTTTCTATGAATACTTGATTACTAAAAATTGAGATTTAGTCCTAAATCAGTCAAAAAATTACATGCCTGGGTGAGAATTAATGGAGGAACAATGGTAAAACCTACCCACAGGGCTTTCTCAGGGACTAACTCTGGACTGAGGTACTCCAAGAAGTGTGATGGGAGCTTTCAAAGTAAGTGGCCTCTTGTCTTTTTCTTTTTCTCTGCTTTATTTGAGTACTTTCTGTGTTCTAAGTCCTGTACATTCTCTCAAACAATTGATGGAAAGGTCCCTCATAAAAGCAAGAATTGTACTCCATCTTCCTCCTTTGTTTCAAATGCTGACTCAATTGGTGTATCTTAATCGTGGCTCCTCCTTTATTACCAGGAATTTTATGTTGCTGTCTCCCTATTATCTGGAATAACATATTAATTAGGATAGAGATGGTAAGAACATTTACCAGAGTGGGACATAAGTCTGAATACAATTGTTTATATCTGTAGTAGCAAGTAATTACACAAATTTATCAGCATTCACACATGATTGATTTTATGTTTGATGGTAAATGACAGGAGATAGCTGTGGTCATGCAAAATAAGTTCTGTCCTTTGGAATTCTAACTGATCCATTGAAATTTTTTTCTTGCATTAAGTAGGATTATGAGCAAAATGAAATTTTGTGAATATGTGAAAGTTAAATTTAAAACAGTTTGAAACCTGATTCAATCATAATGTTTTATGACAACATCCAAGACACCTGGTAATAAAACAACTTGAGTAGTAGCTAAACATCAAAATACATAGAAGTTGAGCGAAGAAAGGAGAACAAGAAAAAGAAGAAAATTTTAAAAGAGAAAAAAGAGTAAATTTTTGGAAGCAGGGTGGGAATTGGAGGTTTCAGGGAAAGTGAACCATTTTCTTATGCTGGTCGCATGAGAACAATGAAATCATCTACTCAGGGGTAGAAACACACAGTGGCATAAGAAGGTACGCACTTCATTGAAAGCAGCAGTCTAACATCAAAGTGAGAGGGGGACCTAAAGGAAAGAACCTAATCTCAAAAAAAAATGTTCTCACTTAGGTAACATATCCACTTGTAGAATATCCCATAAGACCTTGAGTTTTAACAAAGAGTTTCAAAGGTCACTCTCACTTTCAGCAATATGTGAGCTCGTGGTGGGGAAAAGTGAAAATATTTTCTTTTGTATATTGAATTTTATTTGAAATACCAGTGAGGAATCTACTACTAAAGGAAACCAGAGGCAAATTTTAAATGATAATTTTCTGTTAAATAAATTTAGATTTTTGTTAATTCCTTAAAGTGGGACATACCTATATATCTTTTCCCTTGTCTTCTATTTAACCTTCCTTTGTGGTTTTTATCCTTCTCCCATCTGAGTCAGGGAGTCCCAAGTCTGCTGCCAAGTTGCAAGACACAGTATCTCAAACTCTACGTGCTCTGGAGAAGGGGTTCAGGAGCTGGGAAGGGGCAGCATAGAACATATAATTCTGAAGGAGGGAGACTGCTGTCTGGCCCTGGTGTAAGGAAATTGGCCTCATTGCTTTCAAGCCTCACTATAGACAAAGTCCCTGGGCTAGTGGTAGCTGGAATCTCTTGACTTCAAGTCAAACCACTTGGCACCATTGGGCATCTTGAATCTTGATCCTCCCATCCTGACAGCCACTTCATCCCCCGAGTGGGAGTCTACTGGAAGTTTTTTCGTATCCACTCTTGAAAGAAGATATACACTCTTTACACTCCTACCAAACCACATGCCCATGTTTTGAGCCCTGTCAGTGTTGATGCTATGGATCAATGGTATGCACAGCCATCTTTCCTCTGCCTTAAGCTCTCTTCTCCCAAACATTCCCATGACTGGATCCCTCACTTTATTCAGGGCTTTGCTCAAATATCTTCTCCTTAGAGAGGCCATCCCCACCATCAAATCCAATAAGAAGACCATCACCCTTGAGCTTCACAAAACTTCCCAGAGCACAATCGGCCATGCCTGAAACATATACAGACACATCTATAAGGAATGATATCCTTGTATTATTATATATGATAATCTCTCCTACAGTGTGTATATTAGTCACAAACTGAAACCTGATGGCAGAGAAAAAAATTTTCTTTTACCATTTACTAAACAATAGAAAAATATAGACTTACAAGTTTACAACCATTTAAAAAAATAGATCCTAACAACAACAACAAAAAAATAGACACATGGCTGGAAGAGGGGAGTACCAACTACCATGGTTCTTCTGCAGACAAATCTAGCAATCTAACACATCAATAGCCTTCAAGATAGTTATATTGTTGGCCTAGTGATAAATATGGAGGACATTATACTAAGTGAAATAAGCCAATCACAAAAGATAAATACCATATAATTACACTTATAGGAGGTACCTAGAGCAATCAAAATCATAGACAGAAAGTAGAATGGTGGTTGCCAGGGGTAGGGGGTGGTGAATGGGCAGTTATTGTTTAATGAGTAGAGTTTCAGATTGGGAAGATGAAACAGGTCTGGAGATAGATGGTAGAGATGCTTGCACAACAATGTCAATGTACTTAATGCTACTGAACGGTACACTTTAAAATAGTTATAATGGTAGATTTTATGTTATGTGTATTTTACCACAATAAGAACACTTTAGAATATTTAGCAATAGGAAAATGCTCAAGATGAGAGAAATTATATCAAATATATTTTTAGATTTTCTCTAAAAATCATTGTAAGCTCATGTATAGGGAAAACACTGAAAAGATATTCCAAAACACAAAATTAGTAGGTGATATTATGAGAGATATTCTTTTTCATGCTTTTCAGTATTTTCCAAATGTTCTAAGTAAACATACAGTATTTTTATAATTAGAAAATAAAATGAAATTTAAAAGCCTACCCTTTATATCTCTATCCTCTTACTCCACGTTACTATTATAGTAATGGCAATTACTACTACTTGAAAGTATATTGTGTATTCGTTTCCTTGCCACAGACTGCTTCCTCAGCTAGAATATAAGTCTCATGATGTCAGAGGCTTCTGCATCCCTAATTCTTGCAAAGTTTCAGGCACTTAACAGGCACTCCACAAATATTCAAGTGAAAGAGAACGAGCCAATGAATGAATGTATGAATGAACAGAAAATCAGTCATTCTTAGGTAAGCATAGTGGACATTCCTTTGTCATGTGCCCCCATTCTTGGAACCTGGGGAGCAGCTTTCTTCCTCCCATCTGTAACTTGCCAGGACTCAAGGAAAGGCTTCCTCCAGATTTAAGGTCATCAGGATAAAATAAAGCCTGAAGTGTATCCAAAGGAGGGCTAAGAGGGTAAGAAGTGGTCTCAAAACCATGTCACTTAAAGGATAGTCGAGGGGACTGAGAATGTGAAAGAGAAGAGTTAAAAGGGAGAAGAAATGCAGCTATCTCTAAATCCTGGAAGATAGTCAGATGGAACCATGTATTCAATAAATATCTGTTGAGCCTTTTCTATGTGCCACAGACTGAAGCAAGCACCAAGAGTACAACCACACACACACAAAAAAAAATCCATAAAACAAACAAATGTGCCACAGACTGAAGCAAGCACCAAGAGTACAATCACACACACACAAAAAAATCCATAAAACAAACAAAACCCCACCCCACACACACGCACACACACACACACACACACACACACACACACATATCAGAATTAGATTTCATCTGTTTGACTCCAGAGGGAATACCACAAATTGGTGAGAAGTTTGGAAAGACAGATTTAGATGCATCATAAAAGAGAGTCCAAATAGGGATGTATGGGATGTTTGTTTATGTTACATGAAGAAAAAAAAAAAAGGATTCTGGGGCCAAATAACTTAAGAAAATCTTGAGACAAAGTTAGTTTTTTAAACTATAGCACAAGACTTCTAGAGTCTTTAATATAATACTGTATACTATGATTTTCCTAAAGAGGGATAAGATTCCTTTTCTTAAAGCTCTTGGGTCAACAGGACGCTTTTTCTAGGCCTAGAAGTCCACAGGATGAGCATTAGGAAAAGTCCTCTCTTCATCATGAGAACGTTCGCCTTTGAAATAGGTGGCCTGCAACCCCAGATACAAAGGGGCACTGTGGCTTGCCCCTGAGACACACATCAGCACCACATATGAGAGATGCCCAAGTCTTCATTCTAAATCACTCATATCCATCCATTCTCTCACCTTAACCCCCTCATCTCACAATTTTCCCAGTGACGAGTCATAGCACTCAATTATTCTTTCTATCTTGCTTTGAACTTGGCCGTGATGAACCATTGAATTTCTGCTTCTGACTTACACTCTGTGTAGTGACAATTCTGGTTCCTCCCTTAAGCTTCCTGGGGCCACCCTCGGTAAGGCTTCCCCCGAGTTCAACTCTTCCATCCAGCTCACCATACACAGAAGAGAGAGACTCAAACATGGAGTGGACAGTTTCTCATTTCACAGATGCCATAATGAGGAGAGTTGGGCTTTCTGAAGTGAAAGTTCTCCCCTGGTCTTCTTTTTGGCTTCTTCTTCAACAGGTCTCAGATTTTGTAAGGTCCTGTTTTTAGTCATAATTTTAAATACTTCTGATACCTGGGAAAGGAGTTATTTCTATGATTGCATCATCTTATCAGTTCTTATATAAAATGCAGATGCTCTACCACACAATTGTGAAATCTTTTACATGATGAGATAAAGCCACTCATCCAAGCTCTACCTTCCAGTCGTGTGAATAAAAACCCACGGCGACTTTGAAGGCTTGTATGAAATCCCTGCAGGGAGAAACTCTTGTGACTTTAAACTATAGTTCACAAACCCCTCATATTTTTGTTTTCTTACCTTGTAACTTGGGTTCTCATGCCAAAATCCAGTGACCTCATTGATTGCAGCACTTCAATACAGCCCATGTACTAAAATAAGAAAAAAAGAAGAACAAATAGAAAAAATAGCACAAAGATGTCTCTTAGCTTCTGAGTGATTTCCTGGGAAAACCTTCAATCAACTCCTGATATCAAGTTACATTTGCACACTCAGCCTGCCGTTGATATTTCTGACCATTAATGGACACATGCCTTAAGCTTCAATTCAGTTATTAAACATCAGCTAAGTCCAAACTATGATGTCAGGAACAAAGACAAAGTTGAGTTCAATGGTCAGGAGTTGGACCCTGGGACCAGACAATGTGAATTTGAATCATGGCTCTGACACTTATTAGTTATGGAACCTCTGTAAGTTACTCACTTTTCTGTATCTCAATTTTGTCTCCAGTAAACTGGGGATACAATTAGAATTGTAGCGAGAGTTAAATTATTTCATGCAGTTGTTCTAAGAGCAGCACCTGATACCTACATGTGCTCAAATATTAGAGGAAGCAAAAATAAATGTGAGACTATAATATAGAAACAATGAATCTTCTAAAGAGATAAAACAAGCATATAAATACAGATAACACAGGATTTAGTAATATAAAAAAGATATTTTTTGCAAAATCATTTATTAAGGAGGTTTAAGAAAGGAAAAAAATTATGTCTTATACCAAGAATGAGTAAATTTAGCTTAAACAAGGAGTATTGGAAAGGGAAGTGTGACTTATAAAGCTCAAAGGGATTTATATTTAATGTGGCAGCAGTGGGAGCCACGTCAGACTGCTGGTAGAAGAGTGATGTGATCAGTTTATGTTTGAGAAGCCTTATGTCAGCAGAAGTATGAAGGTGGGTTAATAGTGAGGGAATAAGTGAGGCTGCTCCTGTTGAGAGGGAAGTAATGATAGCCCACACTGAGGAGGGATGGCGGCAGTAGGAAGGAGGGGACAGATTCAAGTGACATCACGGAAATAGATACTACGTGATTCGGCAGTTGATTTGATCTAGAGAATAAGAGAGAGGGATGAGTCAAGGATGACTCAGATGTTTCCAGCTGAGGTAGCAGAGGGAACAGTGATTCCATTAACAGAAACAGGAAAGCCAGAAGAGGGGATAATGAGTTGGTTTGGGACCTACTGACTGAAAGACGTTGGTGGGTTATCCAGGAAATAACAAGCTGGCAGTTGAAAACTGGGTTCTGGAGTTATGGAGAGGAAGTAAGCCTGGGGATGCAGACTTAGCAGTCATCTGTGTAACTTTGCCAGGTGAGACCGTGGGAGTAAATCCTCTCAGCAGAGCCTTGGTTGACGAGGGAGAGTGTTTCTCTGAGAATGAGCCTGGAAATGTTATGAGAGCCAAGCAGTCTGATTGAAAGTGATCTGTCGCCTCCTTGGAAATTATATGCTTCCTGTTTAGCTTTCCTTTGGAAGCCTTCCAGCCTCCCTCTGCTTGGAAATGGCAAAAACACTGTGGAAAGATAGCAGAAGCCAGGGGGTGCCTCCCTAGACACTTCTTGTAGTATTTCTGAGCAAATTCTGTAGATTTTGCATCCCAAGAGCAGGTCAGTCCACCAGGAGTTGCCTAGAGCCTAGTGTTGGGGTGAGCACGCTGACCAGGACAATGACCTGGCAATTCTTAGCCAGATTCGTGTTTGTTACACTCCTCTTGGGGTCTCTAATAATGACACAAAAAAATTTTGAATATTTTATTCTATCCCAATCAGACTTAAATTCCAAGGCCGGAGTACCTTGGGGAAATAAGTGATGTCCAGAGATCTCTGTTCAATAAACCTTAAGACTGATTAGGAAAGGAAAGCTAGATTTAGTGGGTATGGGAGGAAGCCCATCTCGGAATTGTCATGAAAGGAGATTCCAAGGATCCAAGCTCCATGACAAGGTGGACTGAAAAATATGGTTTTCCTATCCTTGCGGGCTGCTCCGGCTTTTCCTGCCTTTCAGCGTCTTCTTTCATTCCAGAACTTAGCTTCTGTTTCCCTATTTCCTGTACACCTAACCCTGAACTCCCCATGAAGGTTGGGGGACAGGTCTGGGCTACACTTCCGATTCTTTGTCGGTGCAGAGGTGGGTGTCATCTTTCCCCTCAGTTGTAAATCATCAATTTAAGATGAGTTGACTCAACCTGTCAGGACATGCTTTTTGAAAATGTGACCCAACATCTACATTTTGCACACTCTGCCAGAGTGATTTTTCAAAAATGAGTGTCAGCTCTTGCCCCACCATTGCTTAAATCCCCTGGCATTTATTTTCAAAACAAACTCTATACTATAAGCCCCTAGACCCCTGGCCTCTGCTTGCCCCTTTGACTCCATCTGCGTCACTCTTCCCCTGTGCACTTTGCTGCCACGTGGGCCTTCTTTCTATTCCTCGAATACACCCAACCCTTTCCAAACACGGGCTCTTTCACTTGCACCTCTTCTTTCCCCATTGCTAGCTCCGCCTAGCTCTTCCCCCATTGCCTTGGAGGACTGACTCCTTCTCATCCTTCACTGCCTCAGAAGCCCCATCTTGTTACCCTTCATCACAGCCCCCATTTGTCACCTTTGTACCACCGACTGATTATCAGGTGTGCTTGTTAATTTGCTTGTTGCCTCTCTTCATTCCCTTGGTTGTAAGTGCCACAAGAGTAAGGACCATGATCACCACTGTATTCCCATCACCTGGGACAGTGCCTGGGACACAGTAGGTACTTAATAAGTATTGATGAAAGAACAAATATAGCCTGCATTGTTGAACTTCAATAGTATCTTTAAAGTGAGCAGAGAGAGGGAGAAGAGATCAAAGGAGGTAAAGCTTTGACTGGTCTCTCCATCCTGGTGGATAAGTGAGGAGTACAGGAAAACTGAGGACTCAGAAAGAGACTCAGGAATTACAGGCCAGGATGATACCTTTGGCAAGTTTCTGGATTTCTTTGTTATTTCCTCCATGTTTGTTATTTTTGTTATTCCCTCATCTAAGAGATCGGCAACAAACAACCTAAACAGAGGGGGTTTTGTAGTGAAGTGTTAGGTAGGGAAAACAGTACCCTGCTCCTCAGGTGTTCTGGGGGGTAGTGGGGGGAGCCCTGAATGATAATGAGCCTCCCATGTGAGGGAGAGTTCTTAGTCCAGTGAAGTGACTCACCAATGGGGGTGGGGGTGGGGGTTGGTTATCTCTGAGGAAAAGGGTTTTGAGTGGAGAGTGGGAGAGGCAGACAGGGAGAGAGGGAATCTTCTTAATCACATTTCATGGTGCTAACCACCTCATCTCCTTTCTTCTAAGGCAGGCCCAGGTGTTGCTTCCGATCCCCCTCCCTTCACTGAAACTTGTTTTTCTTCACACACTTGTCCGTCAGCAACAGCACAGGTGACACCTTCTGCCAGCCTCATTGTGATAAACTGAAGTTACTGACGATATGTGAGTCAGGGCCTGAAGTGATCATGACAATGAGTATATTTCTCCTTCCACCCTGGGCATGTGTGGAGGAAGCACTCTGAGCAAAATGAAGAGAGGGAATCAATGTCTGACTGTTGCCACAATTACCCCAACGCCCAGAATGGAGCTGGCCTTCCCATTAAATCATACAGTCCATTTCACTCAGAAACCATTGCTGTGAGGAAGCAAGGAGCGAGCAGCACCTAAAAATAATCTATCCACTTCTTTGTTTAGGTACCTGATGACTGCATAAGCCGATTGTGGCTGACTGTCAAGGCCTGAGGGAGGAGAAGTTGGTTTATTTAAGTAGAAACAGGGGATGACAGTACCTCTCATTCATTTATTAAATACAGATCTGCATGAGACATGGTCTCTGTTCTTAAAACCCAGCCCCATGAGGATAGGACAAGTGTGAAAGAGATGACTTTTCTTTCTATGAGGTTAGTCATTGTTAATTCCACTTAATAGATGAGGAAATTAAGGCCTATTAAAGGAAAGTGCCTGGCTTGGTTTCATTCATTCAGTGAGACTGAATCAGGGTTTATTCTAGAGTCCATAGTACCCTTCTGGGACCCTGTGTATAAACCTTGTTTGACAGAAAAATAAAAAAGAGAAGGGGTCATTCAGCTGGCTCCCACTGACTCTTTTTTGGTCTACCCAGGTGGGTAAGAGGGTGACAAGCAGGGGGGACACCTGTTAAGAACAGGCATGAATCCAGGCTTCTCCGGGGACTGTAGGAGGTAACACAAGAGACAGAAGGCACTCCCTAATTCCTGACCCTGTGACAGGGAGAGGACACTGAAGGCCTTTATTAGAGGCACAGGGAGGTGGTGAGAAAGTGGCAGAGCTCAGCAGTGCTCAGACAATCTTCCCATTCAGCACCTGACAGACGGCTCACCTCACTCCCAGCTCACACTCTCCCTTCATGCCCAGGGCAGTAATAATATTTTTGTACTGTCTGAGCTTCAACCATTTGCTCCTGGGGAGAGGTGAACAGCCTATTTATGACCATGTGTATCTTAAGCTATTCATTCCAAAAAAAAAAAAAAGACGTTACTGAGGTTTTCAGAGAGAAGGAATGATAGCTCGCTTATGGGAACTTATCGTGACTCTTTTCTAGAATGATACATTCTGATGTCCTCAGAAAGCATGTCTGAAGGATACATAAAAAACTGTTAACAGTGATTACTCTAGTAAAGGGAGAGGCAGCCTTTTGCTTTTTACTTTACATTTTTGTATTGTTTATATTTTTAAAAATAAGTAGGAAGTATAGTTTTAGAGTTAAACAATTAAATAAAGCCTACCACTTTAACCTCTAGAAACCACAGTTTACTAGTTACTAGGTAGGGTTAAATTCCTTTTTTTTCAGTGGCACATTCCCTTCCTTAGAATGTGGCTGCCCCTATACAAGGAGTATGGAGGAATGTCGTTCAAGAGAAGGCTTAAGGTCTAGGCCCTGCACTTGGTAAGACAAGGAAGAATGGCACTTTGAAATAATCAGAATACTGAAGAACAGTACATAATCAAGTATGACATGACGAGAGTCTAACCTTCATGATATAAATGTTCAACAGTGAAAGAGACCACCAGTGTAGCCTGAAGACACTGCAGAATTTT